AGTTGGCAGTTTTCAGAGTTGGAAGGATCTAAGACATCATCATCAATTCCTTCCAATAGAGAAAATGAGACTAAAAGAAGAAATTACTTAGCTAAGGTCTCACTGCTAGATAAATGGAAGGTAAAAAATGAGGACAGTGGCTTCCACATTCATTTTCTGTGGCTCTTTCCACTATCCCCACACTATTTTTCTGTGGGTAAGTTATGTACTATTTTGTTATGTTTTGTTTACTCACAAAAGAGTTGGGTTTTTTCCTAGCAGTCTATAGGTGTTATCCAGGCTTCATTAAAACATTAGAAATGACTTCCCCAACTCACAGATTGGTTTCACCTGTCACTTCATTTCCCATCAACAGGAATACCAGCTCTCAAAGTACGGGTTCCCATCAAGTTAGATGAGCTTTTGATGTTGATGCTAACACCATACCATGTCATTATAAGTCAGTATCCATTATGGCCTATGAAACTCAGCCATCACTTCATTGATACTGCATTTAAAATACTAACATTTTCTTCACTAATCCTAGTTAAGTAGTTTTATTCTATAGTACCAAGAATGAGGAAGAGATGGGAACAGTAATTTTTAATAAGTCAGATCATCCTGGAATTAGGGAATCTGAGAACCACTAAGGCAATGGAAAATGACACATGTATCTGAAAGAGCATTTTAAGTCCACAGAAACCAATGATTGTAAAATCAAATATCTAATAACAAAATTATTAAAATAGAAAAGTATTATTGAATTCTTGTCATGTTAGGCACTGTTCTAAAAGCTTTACATACAAAATCCCCCAAAAGGCAGGTAAGACATAGATGAGGAAAGTGAACAGCACTGGAATTTCTATACATATGCAAGGGATTGCAAAATATAAGTAGGGCACACCAATGAAGACTTAGTTTCCAGTCTTCCTATTAAGCTTTAAGTAAACTGTTAAACTGTATGTGTATCTGAGTTAGCAAGACCCTTGATATGCAAACAAAGCACAGGCATGTTATTTAGGTAGCATATTTATGAAGTGGGTGGGAGAGACTATGACCATCCTTCCCCCAAACCTATGGACTCCTAGCACTACACAAAAACTGAGGGCCCAAAAGATAAAATCCCTCACTCACAGTGATGAAGCAAGTACAAGACAGGCAGAGCTGGCCCTTCAGCCCAGGTCAGTGTGGTTCCTAAGTCCTTTCTCTTTCTACTGTCTCCAAATACCTCCTTTTGTATAAATGCCCCCAGATAGTCTAAGTACCATATAAAAATTATTAACTAATAATTTTGTAGGTCATCTGCTATGAAAAATGAATGTATTTCTGAGAACCTTAAGCTAACAAACAGAAAGCTAATTTTCTAATGCCTTAGAACAGCATGCATACTACAATTTCAAGACCTCCTAAGGCAGAATTCGAGTACATTTCAAAACACACACAAAAGACAGGAGTCTTTTGGGGTGGGGAGAAGGGAATGAAGGAGATGAGAAAATAGTCTCTCTTAGGATATTAAAGCTGGTTTAAGGCCAAGCTGGTTAATAAAACTGAAATAATTTTTAGGATTATGCAAAATACTGGGTTTAAAAACTGAATATAATCCAGTGATATCCAATATCTTACTCATAATTTGAGAGACTGAAATGCTTACTTTTTAAGAGGGAATTTATTCAACAAATTTCAATTAGGCCTGGGCTAGTAGGCATTATGGAAGCCACAAAGGTATGCAAGACACAGCTCTTCCCAAGGAGTACTTGCAGTCTAATTAGAAAAACTAGATAAATGTGTGAAAGGATAAAACAAACAAATTCCAGAAGGGTGGGTTGCCAAGRAGCAGAGAACTTCAACGAAGAAGCAAACACTAGGCTTTTGAAACAGTGGCAGCACTGTAAACAAGCCCTTGAAGGGAAAATGAGAATTGGAGGCAGGGGCTGAAGGATATATGATGGGCCCAAAATAGGCTATTAAAAAACAAATCAACACCAAATGCTGGAGAGGATGTGGAGCAACAGGAACTCTCTCACTCATTGCTGGTTGGGAATGCAAACTGGAACAACCACTCTGAAAGACAGTTTGGCAGTTTCTTAGAAAACCAAACATAATTGCTGCCATAAAATCCAGCAATTGCACTCCTTGTTATTTACTCAAAAAGGAGTTGAAAAACGTATGGCTATACARAAGCCTGCATGCATGTGGATATTCATAGAAGTTTTATTCATAACTGCCCAAACGTATAAGCAACCAAGTTGTCCTTCATAGGTGAATACATAAACTGTTGTACACCCCACAATGAAATAGTATTCAACACTAAAAAGCATGAGCTATCAAGCAATGAAAAGAAATGAAGGAAACTTAATGCATATTACTAAGTAAAGGAAGCCAATTTAAAAAGAGTATATACKGTATGATTCCAACTATGTAACACTCTGAAAAAGGCAAAACTATGAAGATAGTAAAAAAAGATCAGTGGTTGCCAAGGAGTTGGGGGTGGGGATGGTAATGAAAAGGCAGAACACAGTGGATTTTCAGGGCAGAGAAAACACTCTGTATGATAATATAATGGTAGATACATGTCATTACGTTATTGGTCCAAACACAAAGAATAGATAATACCAAGTATGAACCCTAATTAAACCATGGACTCTGGGTGATTATGGTGTGCCAGTGCAAGTTATATCAATTATAACAAATGTACCACTATAGGGACTGGGATTGTAGCTCAACGGTAGAGTCCTTGCCTAGCACATGCAAGGCACTGGGTTGAATCCTCAGCAACACATTAAACAAATAATAAAATAAAGGTGTTGTGTCCAACTACAACTAAAAAAATATTTAAAAAAAAAAAATGTACCCCTATGGTGGGGGAAGCTATCCCTGTGCGGGGCAGGGATATATGGGAAATCCCTGGACATTCCTCTATGTAATCATAAAACTGCTCTAAAAAAATAAAATCTTTAAAAATGAATAAACAAATATACAGATATTTTCATACAAGGGCAAACTCATGTGTTTATGAGCTTCTTCATAGGTGAATATACCACTGGTTAAAGTGGTATATTCATAATATGGTACATTCATAAAATGAAATATAGTGTAGTTGGTTAAAAAAAACATGGCAGCATGGGCTGGGGATGTGGCTCAAGCGGTAGCGCGCTCGCCTGGCATGCATGCGGCCCAGGTTCGATCCTCAGCACCACATACAAACAAAGATGTTGTGTCCGCCGAGAACTAAAAAATAAATATTAAAAAATTCTCTCTCTCCCCACCCCACTCTCTCTTTAAAAAAAAAAAATGACAGCTTTAGATGTATGATATATATTATATATTGCTAAGAGAAAAAAGCAAGGTGCAGGAAAGGTGTGTGTTATACCATCACTTGTGTGCTTACAAAGTTTGACAATACTTATACAAATATGCTTGTATATGCTTATATATTCATAAATTATCAATGGGAAGATTTAGGAAAAAGTTATAAACAGTATATACATCTGTTGACTGAGGATACTGCTACATAAAACAAAGGGACTGTGCTCTACAGAAGGCAAGAGACTATAGGAAAATCCTGAATATTAGGATAAGAGATTTAAAAAGCCTGAATGCATACTCAAGAGCAGGATTCTCAACAATGGAACTACTGACATTTGGGACCAGATAATTCTTAATTGTGTGTGGCTGCTAGCCACTAGATACTGAACACATCCTCCTACTTGCTGTCCCTGGTAAAATGTCTCAACGTTGCCAAATGTCCCCTGTGAAGTAAAACTTCTCCAGGTTGAAAAGTACTGCTCAAGAGCTACAATGATAGTAATTTACAAAACACTGCAGCTCTATATCCTTGCAAATTAACAACTCCAACATACATTCATATATAGATCTGAGAGGCATATTTGGCAGTTCTGAAATGACCTTCATACATCAGTTTCTCAAGCTGAGATAATTCAAGCCCCTTCCCAGATGTGAATTTTCATTTCTAACTATATCTACTCCATCACAAATGTCTCTTTTTTGCTCCTATTGAATCCTAAATAATGAAGCTAGATAGATGTTCAGTAGTATATGAGAACATGCCAATTCCCCTAATGGGCTTCCCAGTGATGCACTGACCTGTTACCTCCACAAGTCAATACACCAGCCTTACCCTCCATTCCACCGACCACCAAATAGCACGTTTCTAGATCCAAGATCTTCTGAGATGTCAAGGAAGGCAATCTTCCAAAAGAAATCTAACAATCATATTTTGGCTCAACTTTTGAAAAACTAATATAACTATTGACACAATAGAATATAATTACTCACATTATACTAAGGTTTCTTCCTATAATTACTAATAAACATACAAAGTATAACACAATGTCCTAAAATCTTGAAAGGAAACACCCCTGATTTCAAGGAGACTATAAAGAGAATGATTAGTTCTAAAGCCAAGAGAGGGTTGTACTAGAGTCTACAATCACAATTTTTTTTAAATATTTATTTTTCAGTTTTTGGTGGACACAATATCTTTATTTTATTTGTATGTGGTGCTGAGGATCAAACCCAGCGCCTGGCGCATGCTAGGCAAGAGCTTTACCTCTTGAGCCACATCCCCAGCCCTACAATCACAATTTTTATTAAGAGTAAAGCCATTTCAAATATACCACAATGAATGGGGATGAGAAAAAAAGAAAGACATCCAACAGGCTTGAATATTTTTCAAACACAGATCTAAAACTTGGGTTGACTCTCCTGTGTCTTTTCTTTTTGAAAGGCCAGAAATCCAATAATACCCTGGCAATCTTGGCTTCATATTTTGAAGTCACTGATTCCTTCAATGCTGTTGTAGTTGAAAAGTTCTGGATTTCATCCTCATGAAATCATGCTCTTCAGATTCTAGTATTGTGCCGACTACTTTTGCTTAGCTCTCAGAACGTTGGTTCTCATTTGTGGAGGTAACCTCCAGTGACCTCACTCTGTAATAAATACATTTGTGAGTCGCTATGGAAGATGCTTAAAAGTGTCAGCGGCGAAAAAAAGAAACTCACCATTCTAACTACTTCAGGGTAAGTCTGCTCTGTCAAACAGCCTCTGCTTATTGTAATGTAGTCCACCAGTTCATTAAGAGTGGAGCGCTTGTATTCTTTCATTTTAAGATCAGATAGCGTGTCCATGAAGTCAAAAATGACACAGCACTGCTGAAGTTTCTTTAGGAACAGTTCAGGCTGCTCTGAGGTTGGAACGTCTAAGAAAAAAAAAGGAAATGGTGTAAGTCTGTCATCAATTTCTAAGTAACAGGAATTCTCTGCGAAATTCACTTCAAAAGCAAGCTCAAAAGAATAAGAATTCACATGACAATAGTGTTCTTTTTAACAGTTACACTTGGGGGGAGGGGATAACATATACACTATTTCAGAGATCTTGACTCTGAAAACTATAATGCACCAACACAATTGACTCTGGTTGCTATTCTGCAACCAAAGATTGACTAAAATCCCAAGAGCCATTAGAAGTTTGAAGCAAATTTTAACAACAACAAAAAAAAATAACCCTGATGTCAATATCCGTAAATCCAAAAACACTGAAAAATGACAAATTCTTCCTCATAAGGTAAAGCCAGAAGTTTTCACTGTTGGTTTAAATTAGTTTTACTAAAAAAGTTCAAAGCAGAAATGTCAGTCTATCCATTTTAATTTCATGCTGACACCCTTGATATTTAAAGCAATTACTGTGTGTGTTCTTATTTTGTTTTGTTTTTGCTTGATTTTTATGAAGTTTCTTTGTCAAAGACACTTGAAAACAAAAACAAAAAAACAAAAAAATGAAAAAAAAAATAACAACTCTCTAAAAAAGAGCACACTAAACGGTATGGTGGCACATACCTGTAATCCCAGTGGCTGAGGCAAAAGGATCACAAGTTCAAAACCAATCTCAGGAACTTAGCAAGGCCCTAAGCAACTTAGTGATACAAATTTTAAAAAATTTAAATCTCAAAAATAAAAAGGGATGGAGATGTGGCACAGTGGTAAAGTGCCCCTGGGTTCAATTCTAGGTACAAAAACAAATAAGTAAAAATAAAAACAAAAAAGAGCACACCAGTAGTAGGAAAATAAGAGCAAATTCCCTTCATCTACACTCTCTTTTGATCCACCTTTTTCCCTTACATTGGGAAAAAACTACTAACGTCTTTATTAATATGTTCTCAGAATAGACATCTGTTCTTTTTTAAAACAAACAGCAGGTCAGACATTTGGCTTGGTTTAAAAAAAAATGTAAGAAATTTTAGGTTAATTAAAATTCTCCAGCTAGAAAGGAATCTGACCTACAATTGGATTTGAAATACACAATTGAGCTACAGACAACCAAATCCACTCCTATCTTTTCTACTATTTTATTTCCCCAAACTGGAGCATCACTGGAGAGGCAATGAAATTATGACCCACATAGGCTCTGCTGCCTTTATCCAAGGCAATTAACTCATTAATCCTCAGAATATCTTTGAGGTAAGCAGGTAGCATGGTTATTCTTCATTTTTCAATAAGAAAAGCAGGCACAGTCATTGAGATGAACACAATGAATGAACTATGAAGCTGGGCACAATGCCCAGGTCTCTAGCCATATACCCAGGTTCCCTTTGTACTACTTCAGAAGGATTTTAACAGTGTTTGGCCAGTCACTAACAACCATCCTCAGTTGTCAATCTTCCAGTAAATGCTATACAGTGGCTTCACAGCGTAGGCCATCTGCTCTCTGAAGGAGAATGCTACATCATCTAGAACCCACCTTACAACCAAGAGCCCCAATAGAGCGGAATGGAAACCAGCCTAGGCCTGTTTTACACATGATCCACATGACTAGCTCCATTAACTCCCATCCCCTACCCATATCCCACAACCCAAGTGACAGAGAACTAACCAAGCCACCCTGGACCTCAAAGACAATTCCCCCCACACACTGACTGCTAAGGTTAAACCTAGCTGAAAGGAAAACAGATCTTTTCCAAAGGATATTAGGAAACAAGGAGTAATAAATGCATTTGAAGGTATCACCACTACTCTCAGCATAAACAAGCTGTAAATTTAGTAATTGTTAAACAGTGAGTTTCACTCTACCCGCAACCCCCCAAAGGTTCCCAGTGGCTTAATATACTTATAATCAAATACTTTGGATTTAAGGCATAATATATACTTATTCTGTGCTTCTAAAATGAATCATTTTTAAAATCTAGCTTGGGACCATAAGAACCAAACATAGTCAGATCAAGCTTTCTCTTTAAGTGCTACCTGATCAGGTGTTTAAAATAAATAAATAAATAAGCAAAAACTAAATACAGCTGCTTATGAATATGAGTGTATATAGTCTTAACCAGTATCTAATTACATGCACAGGACCACCATGGTCCAGACTCCAGATCCTGAAACTGAATGGAGTTTTGATGCTGTAAAGGGAATAAGAAAAAGCTTATTAAATGGGGTATTAGTTAAAGGTTAAAATCTTCAGGGAAAATTGCAATTTTTGATATCATAACTTTCATAATATCTAAAAATCAGATTGCTCACATGGAGAGCTCCTTAAACACAGCACATAAGAATTACAAAATATCTATAAATGATAGCCTTTCTGAGAGTAAATCAACATTTAAGCAGTAACAACAATTAATGTTTGTGGTTACTGCAATAACAATCAAGAAATTCATTTATTTAGCAACTCAAAAAATTCAAGCAGTTAACATTTAAATCCTTTTTAATGTCAGGCAATTGGAGTTTATCCTTTATTTATGCAAACTGGCATGTCATAAACAAATGAGAACCAGGCTAACCACTTGCCAGATGGAATAATGATAATAAGCGTACATTTACTGAACAGAGTTAGTATACTTACTATGTACTATTCTAAACACTTACACATATTACATTTTGATTAATATCTACAACAACCCTACACAGTAGGTACTATTTCAAGTTTAACAGATGAATAAACCAAGATAGAGATTGCTTCAGTAATCTGCCCATAGTCATACAGCTAATAAGCATTGGAGACAGGAGTCAAACACAGGCAATCTGGCTCCAGGCCTGGACTCATCATCACCATGTACCATTCAAACACAATCAAAGGCCAGAGTGATATCATATTCCAGAAAATGAAGGGGATGGGGCATGTGGGCAATCTCCCCTCCAGACCATTCTCCAGAGGTTAACATGCAGAGCCAAAGTTATGCTTTATCATCCTTTATCACAGACTAAATTCTTCTAAAATGAACTCCATTAAATTGAAGAACTTGAGCAGTCAAGAACAACCGCTGGGGTGGTGTGGGCCAGAGGTGGGGTGGTCCCTTAAATAGGCAATTCCTTTAATAGTAACAATTTAAAAAGGAAAAGAAGGAAACTATTTCATTCAAGGGAAGGATGAACTAACTATCAAAACACTCCAAAAGCCAAGTGGGTGGAGTTTACCCATAGTTCCAGCTAGTAGGAAGGACAAAGTGAGTAAGTAGGTAAAGCAGGTGGGTGGCTTAAGTGTAGGAGTTCACGCTAGCCTGGACAACATAGCAAGACTATCTCTTTAAGAACAAAACAAAAAACATAATTGCTCCAAGCAAGTACCAGTAATAGTTGGCCCTTGGATTGTCATCCCTCCTCCCCCTAGCTCTGTTGCTCCCAATCCCCCTCCTCTCACCTACCTAGCCCCTGTGGGCTCTGAAGGTAGAATTAAAAGGTAGAATAGGCCAGGGGTCAGAGAAGGTACACTCTGAGCTGTCCCAAGAGTTTCAATAAAATTAAAGAAGTTTAGTATTATGGAACCGGTCCCAGAAGTAGATATAAATATTCTTTCTAAAGAAACATTTATTAAAAGGATCAGTTACTGAGCCATAAAGAAAATCTCATAAATGACAGAAAGCAGATTCCAATCACAATGCTTTAAATAAATAACACTAGCTACCCACCTCCCAAATCCAAGTCACCTGAAAATCTATAAACACTTCTGAAGTAACTTAAAAGAAAATTAAAGGTAATGGAAGGAGAGCCTCATTGTTATACAAAATTACATATAAGAGGAAGTGAGGGGAAAAGGGAAAAAAACAAGGGGGAGAAATGAATTACAGTAGATGGGGTAGAGAGAGAAGATGGGAGGGGAGGGTGCCGCAGTCTGACTGGGCACAATTCAGGAGCCACTTGTCAAAAGAAACAAACTTTATTTTTAAAACTACAAACGCCAAACAAAACAGCTCCTCAGGAAAAACCCTCAGAGCCCAACTGCCACCACCGGCTTCCACAAGCCTCTCCCACACACCAACCACCACCTCCCACCCTCCTGCTCTTGAGGCCGATTGGCTAGGTCGCGTGGGCGGAGCCAAAGAAGTCCCCCAATGAGCAGTTCCGTAGTCTGAAGGGCAGGGAAACAGCCCAATGAACATCACCACAGAGGAGCCAATCAGCTAGATGTTGCTGGGGCCGCTGTGAGCCAATCATCAGCTGGCAGTCTGAAGGGCAGGGAAACAGCCCAATGAACATCACCACAGAGGATTTTTTTCTGGGGCCCCTTTGGCTGTGGCTCTCAACAGGAGGGGAGGGGAGGAGGGATAGTAGAGAATAGGAAAGGCAACAGAATACATCAGACACTAGTATGGCAATATGTAAAACAGTGGATGTGTAACTGATGTGATTCTGCAATCTGTATATGGGGTAAAAATGGGAGTTCATAACCCACTTGAATCAAATATATGAAATATGATATGTCAAGAATTATGTAATGTTTTGAACAACCAATAATAAAAAATAAAAAATAAAAAAATAAGAATGAAAAAAAGAACTATGTAATGTTTTGAACAACCAATAATAAAAATTTTTTAAAAAAGAGGAAAAAAAACTTATACATGGAAAATTAAAGGTCATCATAGACTCCCCAAGCAAACCAGGCAGTGGATACTTCTTTCTTTCAATGGAACTGGCCTACAAAAGCCAGCCTGCCCCTGAGTAGAAGAATTCCTCAGAATCATATCATAAACAACGAAGAATCAATAAGTGGTTATGTAATACCACAAAGGTCATTAGCACAATAACTATCCATCCAACGTTAGTATGTGTTTAAAGGGGAGAATAATTGATCCAGTCATCACAGATGGTAAGAACATATCAGGTCAGACTTCACTAATCTGGAAGAACAAGTAGACAGATTTCCAGAATATGCTTCCCATCCAAGAAAAGAGTGGAGGGACAAACTAAGTTGTATTTCTCACTGTATTGT